ATAATAATAATAATAATAATAATAATAATAATAATAATAATAATAATAATAATAAAAAATCAACATTTAAGGAGAGGGAGCTTCCTTTCAAATGTGGAAATTATAAAAAGGTTGTGTCAACTGCGGTTGGTTGAAATGTGTCAAGGTTCTCCATCTAAGAAACTATGCCAGTGGTGGGTTGCCAATTTTTTTACTACCGGTTCGGCCGCGTTCGCATGTGCGCTTGTGTGCACGTGCAATGCTTTTGTGCATGCGCAGAAGCATCCGGGTGGGTGGGTGGTGCCTCCCACCGCTGCTACTACCAGTTTGCTCGAACCAGGAGCAATCCACCTCTGAACTATGCCAATATGAGTTTTCAGCTTTTAGTTATACTAATTAATTAACATCTATCTTTGTTCTAAATTAATTATTCTTGAGCTCCTCATGCAGTATTCTCTGAAGAAGGACAGAAAACAGACCTCAGCCGTGTTTAAGTTCTGTAACTAAACCATGTTTTTAATTTAAAAAACTGGTTCTGTTGAAACAAGAAATCTGTTTTATATTTTGACTGTCTACGTACCACTAGAGATAATTATGCAGACAGCAGTTCATTTTCTGATTGGCCTGGCAGTCACTTTATGAAAATGTTTCTGCCATTTTATCTAACTGATTAATGCGCCCCAGGTCAAAAAGGACGAGGAATCCCAATTTCGTTGATATTAAATAAATTTGTCTGGTAAAACATCTAACCCACCCTAAACAATTTGCAATCAATGCTTGGTATCAACGCTTGCTTCCTTTAAGAATTTTTCATTTTGCTCTGAACGAGCACAGTCTACATTTTCAAAACAATAGTCTTTTTTCTATGAAAAGCAACAGGGGGAAAAAAAAGGAGGAGGAGAGGAGAATTCTGACATTGCCAAAATGCTAGATAAAGAAAGGGTTGAGCAAGGAAACTTGAATGTTGAGAGTGGGTGAAAAGTGAATTAATGGAAATGAGAGGAACTATAAAAAGCAATTTAGCCTAAGCAGCATTTTTATCTTCTCTACTCTCATAGTTTTTACAAATATGCAAGGATCAAAACTTGAAAACCAATTAGAAATAAACTAGGATTATAATCTTGGACATAATAAAACATAGCACACTGACATTTTAAACTAAGTTCAAATCACGGCCACATCATGACCATAAATAATTGCAAAAATATATATATAGAAAGATTTTGTTTGATACTCAGTAACCTCTGATGGTAAATCTATGGTTTCTTTGAATATTTACACTAATGTTTGGAGATTGATTATATTTTCACCCTCTTTGAATTAGCAAAGCTGATTGGCATAGGTATCTAAAAACTTTATTAGGGGAAGATTGTTGAAAATCAAAAGTGTAGAACAGCCGAAGTTCTCCAAATATCAGTTCAAGAAAAAGATATATATATTTTAGAGCTAATACAAATTAGTTTCTGCCTTGTGTGTGTAGTACTTTCCTAAGCTTCTGTAAATGTGCATTTTAATCATGATTCACAGGGGAAATAAGGACTTATTCTTATCAAAATGTTCCCACAGAATACAATTTGAGAAAAAGGCTAACACTATTTTCTGTATATCCATATTCCATCTGTACAGCTGTGTAGGTATGCAAAAGATTTCTTTTTTCTATATTTCTCTTTTACTTTGTGCATATATATACACAAGACATATAGAAAGGAAATTTAAAAGAGTGGCTAAAGTATTATGAGCACTAGTCACATTACATGAGACTTCATAAACCATTTTTACAAATTTTGAATCAATGTTCTCATCTGTCATTTTTCCTGTGGTATTAATCCAGATAGTATTTTTACCTCTGAACCATGGGGGGGGGATCTGTCTTAATGTTTGCTATTTAATCCAGGCAAAAGACATAACTTTGGCTTAACATGAGCTAGAAAGTCTACAATTTACTTAGTTCATAATGAGAGAAGAAGGGCCAGGGAAGCTTATTTCACTGAGATGCTTTTACATCACTATCTAACTCTAGGTGTTTCTCTACCTTGTCAACTTTAAGATACATGGATTTCAACTTCCAGAATTCCACCACGTACCTTAAAGTTGCGAAGGTTGAGGAAACACCGATCTGACCCTTCACCAGAGAGAAATATGAACCACTGTGTCTTTTGTTTAGTAGAAATTTAAATAAGTAGAAGTCCCTTTGTATTACACCCTCCATCTGCTTAGTCAAAAATGAGCTTTGGGAAAATAGTTTGAGGATGCTCATCCCTAAAGAGATGAGCCTTTGTCCAAATTAAAGATGGCATGTAGAGCACTTGGAGAGGATTCCCCTTCTACTTAAGCTAATCATTTTGCACTACAGGTGCCCAAGGAAAAAATGTTTACCTGGGATGGCTACGGTTAACCTTTTTTCCTTGCTGAGACGGTGCCCATGGAAGGATTCATTCATGGAAATGGGGCCCCTCAGAAGAAATGGCTCTGTGGAGGTGTGATCTGAGGGGGTTCTTAATAAAGGCAGTAGATAGGTCCCTGAAGTCCTGGAATGGCTCTGATCACAAGGGGAAGGTGAGAATTGTCTTGCAGGAGATCCAAGAAAAAAAATACATACGGAAACAAAAGAGTTTTTACTTTAATTACTGAGCAATGGCCCCTGGAATTAAATATCACACATCACCCACCCTCCTGAGAAATCACCCAAAATATTGCCAACATCTTCTATCATTGCTGTCACCCCATAATAATATGCTACCACTCCATAATAGAATGCTAGACGGGCAGGCGGGGATTTTGTATATTCTGAGGAAAAAATAATAGGTAAAGGATTGTGATCAATCAAGCCAAGTCAATCCTGTGATGTCCCATCATGCGTTCAATACAATCTTTTCTTGCTGCCACTCATCACGCAGCATCTGCCCCTCCATCGCTAGAGATGGTTGGTTAATATTGCCGGGGATCAACATCGTTCCACAGCAACATAAATTTACTACAAATCAACATCATAAATATATTGCCGTGTATGGCTTGGTGGGTCACCGGCTGTTCTTTGCTTAGAATGTAGGCTTCACACATATTTACATCATTGTAGTTAACGGTTACACCAAACAGAACTAAACCTATAGGAATATAGGAACACTTGAAGTGGTTCTTGGAAATGGCTCCTTATGGTGGTGCGGCCTTTGGCGGGATAGTCATATATGGGTTTGTCTTGGAGGTTCGTTCGTTCTTTGTGCTTTTTTTTTGACACATATACTTAGGAGCACATGGAAATGAAAACCCCTCAACCCACTGAGGGAAATATATTAGCACCAATGTTTATTAGAATGTTCACTTTTGGATGGATGTGCTTTTTTTTTTAACACTTTTTTTTGCACTGGCTACTTATTGGTCTCCGGACACAATTCAAGGTGTTGGTTATTACCTTTAAAGCCCTACATGGCTCAGGACCAGGATACCTGCGAGACTGCCTACTGCCACATAACTCCCAATGGCTGGTGGGATCTCACAGAGTGGGCCTCCTTCAGATGCCGTCAGCCAGACAATGTCGGCTGGCGGCTCCCCGGAGGAGGGCCTTCTCTGTGGCTGCTCTGACCCTTTGGAATGAGCTACCCCCAGAAATCCGGACCTTACCCACTCTCATGGCCTTCAGAAAAGCTGTTAAACCCTGGCTATTCCGGCAGGCCTGGGGCTGTTGACCTCATTGTTGAGGTCCAGCCCCGATTGTAATCGAATGTATGCGTGTTGATTTTAACTTGTTTTTATTTTCATTTTTTATTATTTCTTTCGTTGTAAGCCGCCCGGAGTCCTCCGGGATTGGGCGGCCTATAAATCGATTAAACATTCAACATTCAACATTAGGCTCAGCCTGAGGTAGTCTGATCTATGCAAACAGAGGCATTCAAGACATACAGAATATGCTGAAAATACTAAGAAGGCATGAACCATGACCGTATCGAAAGGGACAAGAAAATACCTTGGCAGATGGAATTAACAGCCCAAGTTTACAGTTGGAAAAGCCATTACTTCTCTCCTCCCCATCCCCAAACCTCTTCTCATAAAATATATAATGTATTTGCAATTCAGTGGATGACCTTAATTCAAGTCAGGCCATTGCACTGTACTATAAATAGGACTGCATGCATACCTTTTCCTCTGAGTGCCACTGCTGACCAGTATGTTTGGTGGTTGTGGGCCCTGACTATGCAGGAGGAAAGTGTCTATGGTTGACACGGTGGCTGATGCCTCCTCACTTACTTTAGGGCTGCCGATCTTGGTTTTCCCAAATTTGCCTTTGGTCCGCCGGGACTGCTCGTGATCAAACTCTAAGTCTTCCAAGCGTTGAGTCAGGGCGAGCTTTTGCTGGATAGCCATCCGCAGCAAAGAATCTAAGGTCTTTTTCTCATCCTCTGCAGCTGCCAATTGCCTCTGCATCTCATCCAACTGGGTGACATACTCATCACACCTGGAGGGAAAGAAGGAAAGAGGAACAGGTCAAGATGTCTGGCCATCGGTCCTGGCCAGCCTTTTTTTCTTTTGCAAACATGAACCATACGGACATCAGAACCAACCCTTTCTAAGTGGGGAGAGGGCTCTTCAAAAGCCATTATTCTGGGTTTCAGCAGCATCAAAATTCCTTTGAGGCACTTCAGATTCAAGATAAAAAGGAGCTTCCCCAGTGGCGAAAGTTGCAAACCTGTCATTTGTCAGCAACTCTTTAAAGCAACTAGACATTTCTTCAGAAATGCTTTAAACCTCCACACATTCTAGAGCAGTTTTTGTTCTTTCTGGCACAGCTGCCCTAATCTCTACCCTGGATATAATCCTTGACTACCAATTGTGTCCTTTAACAACTGTTTGAAATTATGACAGTGTATAAAAATAAAAAGTCAACCCTGAATCTGGCCTGATCAAAGCCATTTTGACCACTTCAGTGTTGCCACACAGGAGCTGAGGGATAGGGAGGGGGGATTTGAGATAAGACGGGATTTTGTAGCCAAAACAAAATACTTTCTCTTGGGAACCAAGGACATTCTCACACCTGGTCGGAGGAAGGCAGAGAGATGTTATCTGGTTGTCAGACCGCACATTGATTGGACCATGTAACTGATTGTTTTGAGAAAGTAGAAAATCTTTTACTTTTAATTAGGTGAAAACCGTGGGAGTTTTCAAAGTCAGTTTTCACCAGATATGTGCCAATATGATATTTCCAATAAAAGTATTATTTGAAGAATTTAGTTGCTTTGGAGTCTTGCTTGACAAAAATTTTTTTGCAACCTTGCATTTATGACTGTTGCAGCACCTCGCAGCCACATAATTGCATTGGTGTGCTTTTCAACTGGCTTGCAGCAAGCAGTTAATAGATAAAGCAGAAGTAAAATCATTTTAAGTCCCACTTAAGGACCATGGTGATTAACTTAATGATCAAAGGGGGCATGAGATCATAAGTCTGTTGCTGTCACATGATGCTTCGCTTAGTGACTGTGGTGCTCAGCCATGGATTTGCCTGTCCCAATTGCAATCACTGAGGTCTACCAGTACTCTTAATACCTTGTCAAATTGCTACCAATATGATACTATATATTATATAAAGTGACTAGTAAGTGTTTAGCCCTCTTCCCTCCCTCTGTGCCATGTATTAATGTGAAAGTATTAACATTTATGAATATGGAATATGCAAGACCATAAAGAATTGTTCTATATTAGCTTCTGCAATACTTCAGAAACTGCCAGAATGGACGATATACATCAAGAGGTGCTTCTCAAAACGAGACACTGATGTGCAAAATACTTAAAAAGAACTATTCTAAAATGTGGTTTTGAAATGAAGCCTAGAGGTATTTTGCACTATTTCTATTTATTTATATATATTTCTATTTATTTATTTCTGTTATTCTGTTATTTAAAAGTATTTTCCATGTTTCCTTGTATTCACAGATCAGCTAGGTAAATGAAAGCAATTTTCTTTTGTGACTTTTGCTGCTACTTGTAGTCCTCACTTTGGAAGTGATTTCTACTGCCATATTTACACGGGCTGTTTTCAGGATAGGAGTATAACTATTTCTTTTTTAAAAAAAAATATATTAATGTTTGATGTAATGATCATTTACAAATTAAAGAAGAAATTATCCATGAAACCAAAACAGCATTTTTCCAGAGTGTCAAATACTGTGTTATTGCCTTGCTCACTGAGTGAAGCATCTGTAATTTTATTGAAAATAGAGTCTGTTTGCTTACAGAAATGAACATCATGTTCAAGCCAACTTTGAAAAAATCACATTATGATGCATTTAAGTGGAGTCTGACCCCATTATTTATCAAGGGCTCAAACTCAATTCTATAAATGTTTTGTTGGCTAATTTAAGCAAGAGGTTATACAATAAAACCAATGAGAAATAAGAAAGGTAGTTTTGTGTATGCAACATACACAATCAACAGGATTGGAAACTAGTACTAAATGGTATGTGAAGGCTTTCTTCTGAAAGCTCAATTTACTTTTTTATGACTTCCTCTCATTAAAAGCAAAGGGCAGCGGCTTCTTTTATGAGCTGCCACATGGCGCTCATAAAGCTTGTTTAAAGTTAACAATAAACCAAGAAAAGAAACAATATTTTTTTAAAAGAATATCTTGTTTAATTTGATAAAGTATCAGGTTAAAAGGAAGTGACATTTTAGAGGATTTTTTTTAAAAATTGTGACATTTTAGAGGATTTTTTTAAAAAATCGTATGTTTTGTCTTCCTTCTAAACTACAAAGTCCTAACATTTAAATTTTGTGGAGGTTATCTTTATTGTTCTTTATGCCCCTGTGTGTTTATAACTTCCCATATTCAAAGTGGGAGAGAGTCAGATTAGTCAGATTAACCATCAATTATACTGGTGTTCCAAGTTCTCCCAGGCTAAGTATTCTACATAACAAAGTATTCTTTCTCACGGGGACACTCATGATTCCTTTGTACCCTTTTCTGTCTTCCTTATCAGGGCTAAAACAATTATCTGTCAATGGCCAAATGTGTAATATGCTCATTTTCAAATCTTGACAACTCTTTATAAGAGTTTGGTTGCCTTTCTTCTCTCTTGTTAGCTGAAGAACAAAGACTCATTTTAACTTGGTAGTTGTAATAAAATAATTATTGGGTCTGTAGGAAGTTAAAACCCACTCCTCTCCTAGAAAAATGAAATATCCTAGGAAATATTGAAAAGGCAGAATATTATATTTTCCTGGATGTGAAAAGGGAGAAACACATTTTAAACCCAAAGTAAATTCCTGCAGCTTCCTGCCCACCGCTCTTTTGTCAATGGGCCATTAAGAAGCCCAAAGCAGTCTATTTACATAACAAAGAACCCTCCCTTTCAGCTCCAGGTGATGGAATCAAGGCATTAGCCCTTTACCCAACTCATCACATGGCATCTGAGAATTCACACAAACCTGGACTCAGCCTAAAGAGTTGCCCCTGCATGGCCTCATGGGAGTCTGACACCCAATCAGAATACATTTCTTACACAGGAACAAGAAACAAAAAGGTGGGGCCGAACAGAGTATTAAAGACCCAGCAAGCCCCTCCTCTCACTCTCTTCTTCTTCACCTGGAAGCATGTGATCACTTTTTTCCCCAGGACTTCAAGCCATGTGGTCCTGTCCACCATTAAACCCTCTTTCTAAGCAACCTCCATGTTTCCAGTGTCTTTTCCCCCACTTGGAGCTGAACCCAGATGGACATTTCTTCCAACAGGTCATTTCCAATTGCTAGCATAGTCTTAAGTGAGTTCCCCCCCCCCATCAGTGCATTTTGAAATCCACTTTCTTATCAGCTTCACCAGTCCGGGTTATGCTCATTTTTAATCTTTTAAATAAATATTTAATGAGTATACTTTAACAATTCTATTATTCTTTTTAAAAAAAGAAATAGGAGGGAAAGGAATTATGCAGTTGTGAAATTCAATTTTTTTTACTACCGGTTCTGTGGTTGTTGCTTGGTGGGCTTGGCAGGGGAAGGATACTGCAAAATCCCCATTCCCTCCCCACTCCTGGGGGAAGGATACTGCAAAATCCCCACTCCACTCTGGGGCCAGCCAGAGGTGGTATTTGCTGGTTCTCCGAACTACTCAAGATTTCTGCTACCGGTTCTCCAGAGCGTCAGAACCTGCTGAATTTCACCCTTGATTGAACACAATGATTTGTTCTCTTCAAATAATTCAGTTTTCTGGAATCCATGATACACCGATCCATAGCTAACTTAATATATTATCTGGGGTGAGCCATCACTATTTTATTTTTCTGTTTCCATCCCATTCTGCTTCTTTAAAGTGCAAATCTATAGTCAGAACTTGCTGAATGTCACCCCTGGAATCATGCCTACTGACTTTAATGTGACCTACCCAAATTAATACTATGAACAGAACAGAATCTTGTGGGCAATTTATTTAGGGATGCAGTTATGTAGAGTTAATATATAATTAGGAATTGATCATTCTGGAGGATTTTTCTGCAGATAAAAGTTAAAATCAACCCTTGCCTGAAGCCCTAGAGAATATTTGCTACTTGGCTAAGACAATGGTTTGAATGCTGCTAGGAATATAAAACACCTCATAAACATGTCCTAGAAAACCTGCTCCCATGGAGTGGCATTGAATACATAGAGAGTGTCCATCTTTTCTTTTTGGACTTCAGGCCTGCCACACTTTCTACTATTCATTTTCTACTGTGGGAAAATGGGAGGGGGGATTATACGGAGTTGGGTGATATCTAGCCATAATAACATTCTTTCTAGAAATCCAAGGTCATCCTTTGTCTCTGCACCTGGCCAGAACTGAATGGGTGGAAGCTGCCAGTGTGGCAGTGGAAGATTGGACCACGTGATGGACTTGTGAATGTCTGCGGGCAGGATCTTGAACTTTCAACGGGGTGGGAAAACCTGGAAGCTTTCAGATTTGGATTTTCCCAGATGGGCCAACATGGCTCTGAGAGCTTGTAGGACAGCACCAGTGGTGGGTTTCAAAAATTTTTGGAACCTCTTCTGTAGGTGTGGCCTGCTTTCCTGGCCCACTGGTTGAACCTCTTCTAACTGGTCCGGTAGATTTGACAAATCGGTTATACCGAATAGGTGCGAACTGGTAGGAACCCACCTCTGTACAGCACCCTCCAATGCAATGCCTTTCCCCTCCATCTTGTTGACCAGGATTCTGATGAGGAAGGAGCATATGTTGAATTGGCTGAAATGGGAAGCATTTGTCCTGGGTGTGGAGAAGATTGATAAGCAAAACCACAGGAATTCTTAGAAAAACATGCTTGAAATGCTGATTGCTAGGAGGAGGGTGTTTATGTCTCTGGGTCCTTTACTTACAGACTGCTGAGCAGACTTTTGCTAGTTCCTTTTTATGACACCCAGTAAAGAATAAAAGCTTGCCATTGAAATCATTCTGGGTTCTTCCAGTTATGAGAAAACCCATCTTTGTTCGATTCCGAATAAAAGTGTGACTCAGAGGGACTTGGACCTTGCCTCTTTGTCCATGCTGAACCAAACCTAAACTGCTTAACCAGCTAAACTCCTGCCTTAACAATTGGTTTCCGTACCTGGTTGCAAACATGGCTCTCAAGGATGAGAAGGTTGCTGCATCTTCTTTCAAAGCTTTTAATTCGTTGCGCAGTTTAGTCATCGTTTCTGTTACCATGGCTTTCTCGTTCTCATATTTATTCTTCAGGTTCGCCAGGGCCACTTCTGCTGTCTGAAACAAACATACAGGCATTCAAAACATATGCATTTATGTTCATCCGGTTGATACATTGACCTTGAGTCTTTATTGATTAGCCCTTGGCCCATATCAAAGTGCAAAGTTCCAGAAACAAATTATTACTAAATTTTGATAAAAGCAATTTAAAATGGAATTGGAATAAAATACAGTCTAAAATGGAATTGGAATAAAATACAATAATTTAAGATTTAGATAAAATTATATTTCGGTGTCACCCCTGCAATCTACCCCAATCAGTCCCACATATGAAGATCTCAACCAAACCATTTTGTTTAAGAACTGTGCTGTGTTAAATGTTATTTTCAGGTTATGGCCGCACATAAGGTAAGTTGTTTTGATATGCGGTTGATACAAGTACAGGATTAAACTCAAAGGAAAACTTGGAATTTCTTGGCTGGAAAGAAAGGTAACACTAATATAATTAATCATAAAGTACCTAAAAGGAAGCAAGAAGATTTCCTCAACTAAACAATATCACAAACAGTGTTTTTTAAACTTTAACTTAAGATGTATGGACTTGAATTCCCAGAATACCTCAGCATGCTGGGTAAGGAATTCTGGGAGTTGAAGACCACACATCTTAAAAGTTGCCAGGTTTGGAAAATCACTGATTTAGAAGGAGACAAATGTTGAGAAAATCTCCTCCTTTTTTTCTCCATGAATAGAGTGGAGTAGGAGTAGGAGTAGGAGTAGAGTGGAGTGGAGTGGAGTGGATTGGAGTGGAGTGGAGTGGAGTGGAATGGAATGGAATGGAATGGAATGGAATTCTTTATTGGCCAAGTATAATTGGACACATAATTTGTCTTTGGTGCAGATGCTCTCAGTGTATGTTAGATCGGGTAAAGGAGGCACACAAGGCTTCAGTAACAACAGCTCTTTATTGCAAATCAAGTAAACATCTGGCTGAAGAATGGTTGGGCAGCATCCCCTTTTAAAGGGATCTGTCAGACTTCTTAACCAATGGGATTCAACCTCTGTTCCCGCCGGAACAGAGGACCTTGGTGGAACCCTCTGTCATTGGGGGCGGGGAAATATCTAACAGTGTACATAAGGAGAATAAAAGATATTCATCAAGAATAAAAAGATACAACACTTAATGATAGTCAAGGTTACTAATAAGCTATCAAATCATGCTAGTAAACAAATAAAACAATATAAATTAAAGATACAAGCAACATGGAGATAGATACTAGGAAGGAAGAGAAGAATAATAGTAAGAGGTTAAAAAGTTGAGAGGGAGAATAAAGTTTAGAAATTTTAAATGGAAGGAGCTTTTTAATGACATGTGATTTCAGGAGAAGATTTTAAGAAAATATTTTATATTTTCTTAAAATCTACGTATACTATAGTTAAAACGAAGATAATTTTAAGTTAGCCTTCTCTCCCATCGCATCTGGAGCGCACCAGGCTGGGAAAGCTGATTTATGGAAACCTCTATCTGTAAGAATTACACCAATGTTCAATACAAAATATGTGCTAATGTGCTGGATTGAGGAATGAATTTAGGCCTTTATAATTATGGGATTAGGACAATATTGAGTAATACAGGAAAAAGTAAGTTATATGCTTTCTGAAATGTTTTATCTATGATATTAAAATAAAACATATTTTAAAAATAGACAAATTTGTCATTGAAGAAAGAGAAAATTAAAACAATCCTATGACACTATAAACATATGCAAAATATAGATCAGTCCAGAATTTAAGCTGATCAGCAACTAGCCATATATTTGGATACAAGAAATAAATTGATACTCCTTTTCGACTTACAGCAGTTCATTTAGCGACCATCCAAAGTTACGACAGCAATGAAAAAAGTGACTTATGACTGTTTTTCACACAACCATTGCAACATCCCCATTAAAATTTAGATCCTCAGCAACTGATTCATATTTATGACCATTGCTGTATCCCAAAGTCATGTGATCCCCTTTTGCAATCTTCTGACAAGCAAAGTCAATGGGGAAACCAGATTCATTTAACAACCGTATTACTAACTTAACTGCAGTGATTCGCTTAACAACTACGGCAAGAAAGGTTATAATATGAGGTAAAACTTATTTAACTAATGTTTCCCTTAACAACAGAAATGTTGAGCTCAATTATCATAAGTCAAGGACTGCCCACTCTGAGTAGAATAGTGCTACAAGATCAGGAGTAAACCTTTCTTATCAGAATGCAACTACTGGTATACACCGACAAAATTCAATAAACAAAATTCTAAATATGAGAGCATTTGCTTATACAACATCAGGAGTTCTGAAGGTCAATATGCATAATTAATCATATTAATTATAAAAATATATATGCATCAGTGGTGGGATTCAAATTTTTTTACTACCGGTTCTGTGGCATGGCTTGGTGGACGTGGCTTTTGGGGTATGGCAGGGGAAGGATACTGCAAAATCCTCATTCCCTCCCGATCAGATGGGACTATTCTCAGGCAGAGAATAGATGGGGCGGGGCCAGTCAGAGGTGGTATTTATCGGTTCTCCAAACGACTTAAAATTTCCGCTACCGGTTCTCCAGAACTGGTCAGAACCTGGTGAATACCACCCCCGATATACATGCGGTATATAGCTTTAAACCAGATGAACTATGCATAAAATAGATGAGAAATCATGATTAAAAATTAATATCAAAGCATTATTTTCTGATTTCTTTTGGCAAAAGCAATATCCAGTTTTCACTTTTATTGGCCACTAGGTAGCATAAGGTGACTTGTTTTGATTCTTAGATTTTGCTTTCCAGTTGACAGCTCTGTAAATTTTTCCAATTAATCATAGAACTGTAGATTTGGCTGCAACATTCTTTTTCACTAAGAGATGCTATATTTTCAATGTAAACATCCATACTTTATTTTCATATAGGAAATTAATATAAGGTTCCTGAGAAATGTCTCAACAAACATCCAGGACATATTTCAACAATCAAGAATCCATGACGTGTTAAAAAAATAATCAAATAGTGTCGCAATATCTCAATATATCTAAACTATAGAGGTCTAATTTCTGAAATTTAGACCTTTGGACACCTAACATCAAAAACGTCATCAAAAAAGCACAGCAAAAACATTCTGCGCAAACTCAGGAAGCTCAAACTGCGCAAGGAGCTACATAAATTGTTTCAACTTCTATCCTCAAAACGATGCTATAGAACACTGAACACCAGAACTACTGGACATAAGAACAGTTTTTCCCTGAACGCCATCACTCTGCTAAACAAATAATTCCCTCAACCCTGTCAAACTATTTACTAAGACTGCATTACTATTACTACTAATAATAGTTCCTCTCACCCATCTCCTCCCACTTATGACTGTATGGCTATAACTTGATTGCTTGTATCCTTACAATTTATATTGATTGTTTCCTAATATGATTTGATTGCTTATTTGTACCCTATGACTATCATTAAGTGCTGTACCTTATGATTCTTGACAAATGTTTCTTTTGTTTTATGTACACTGAGAGCATATGCACCAAAGGCAAATTCCTTGTGGGTCCAATCACACTTGGCTAATAAAGAATTCTATTCTATTCTGTTTTAAATATGAACAATCTCATAATCAGGAACTTCATGAAATAGTATTGTAGGATGAAATATCATATTCATAAGTCACCCTCTTTGTTCATGAAACTCACAGCCTCATCTGAAGCCAAAACATACCAGATTGCAAGTAAGAAGAAATAATGGAGCAGAATTCCTTAAATTCTTTTCAGCCGATATTTAACAGCCAGATAGTTTCAGCCAGGCTCAAACTGATAAAACCATCTCTCCCACAAAGAATAGCAAACAGGTAAAATCCCTTTAATGTACAGAGCTTTCCTGAATACACAAATGTGGTGC